TGAAGTGGGAGCCTGTAAGTTTATCCAACAGTTTCATTTCTGGCAGTGGTTCTCTGCTTATGACATCAGCTCTGCTATTTCCAATCCCTGGGGGGGGGAGAGGGGGAACCAGGAGGAGGGGGAAAAATAAACTTGGAAACTAGGCCAAGATAGGACAACATTTCTTTGGAGTTTCTGCAGGGTGCCCTGGTTTGAGGCTCGCTTTGTTTGGAGAAAAAAGGCTGGCGGGCCAGCTGTCCCCCAGCTGTGACTTGAAAATTGGTAGCCCATCCACCAACCTTCCCGTCACGAGCTTGATTTTTGAGCCTTCCCCAATCTCCTCCTCGGCTCGGCTGGGCTGGCCTCCTTCCTGCAGGCTTTGAGCTGAGAATTGGAAGCAGCAGGGGGAAAAATAAATTAAAACACGGTCAGAGTTTAAAGATACAAAATCCTCCCTTTGATAGGCCTGGCTTTTCCACGGTGTGATGGGCCTGCAAGGGGCTGGACGGCTTTGGTGGATATGGACCTCCGGGCTTCAGGGCTTGACCCCTGGGTCTTCCTCCACATTCTGGGGGGGAATTAAAGGCGATATGGTTGATTTAAGCCAAGAAAGGCTCAGTATGTGCATCGGGGGGGTTTGGTATTCTCTTCCCTCCGATATATAAACAACCCAATAAAATTGCATCACTCGGATTTCTGCAGTCAGCCAAGAAACTTCAGTACTCCAAGGATCTGTGAAAATAAGGGTCTGAGCAAGAGCCCCCCCCTTTTCCCCGAGTGTGGAAAATAGGCTAAGATAGATTTACTATTTATACATACCTTCCTATTCCCCCCCCCATCACCGAGAGGCCAAACTCAGGGGAATTTCCCAAAGGCAAATTAAAAGCTGCGGACCCTTGAAAGTGTTGATATAGTTAGTTTTCCTCAGGATGATGGGAAGTTTAAGAAAGTTGAGCGGGATGTGGATACAACGAGGCTTCTGGTCTGTCCTCAATGCTCTTTCAAGAATTTATTTATTATTTATTTATTATTTAAATTTATATACCGCCCTATCTCCCTTACGGGACTCAGGGTGGTGAACAGGCAATAATAAAAATCACAATAAATATTGAATAAAAAGCCTGCTCTAAAATACCCCATATAAAACCCCTAGCAAAGCCCAATCAAAACTACGCCAGGCCGGCCGCATGGAATAGATGGGTTTTCAAGGCTCGG